ATATATATATATATATATATATATATATATATATATATATATATATATATACACGTATACGTATACATTATATATATATATATACATGTATATACGGCGATAGGAACGAAGATTTTTTATTCGGAAATGTCCGGTCTAGAAGCGGAGGAATGAGAGAGAAAGAGAAAGCGATAAACGCGTTTTACGCGGTGGCCTCTGGAGATCCGAACCGAACCGAATCGAATCGAAGCGAAACCGCGAGAAGTTTGGACCAGACGCGAGGCCGCCAATAGGTCAAGGCTAGATTCTGCGCTTCGACCGGTATCCGCTATCTCTCGCCTACCGTTTCCCAGCAAATTCCTGACCAACTTTCCTCGCGATTCGATCACGCGCGTTTCTTCTCTCTATCCCTTTGGAACGTGACGAACGACGAGACGAGGATAAATTCTTAGCGTAGCGCGAACCGACGATCGCCACCGGAACGATTGCAACGAAACGAGAGCCACGTGGCGGGAAAGATACGGTAAACGATTTCATCGGGATAGCGCACTCGATGCGCTCTATTGCGTCTCGAAACCGAATGAGCGCGAACGCTGTCACGCGTCGCGAAATAAATCGCGTTAAATCATCGATAAAAATCGAAAAGATCGATAAGATCGAGCCTCCTTTTCGATTCTCTCCCTCTCGCTTTTTTGCCATCGCTTGGTCTGCGCCAAGTATTATTCATGTATTCTATAAGTTTGGAATACATGAATGGTCTACGAGATCCAAGTATCCGGGAATCGGCTTCGACAAAGCCGTATTCCTTGGCCGCGCCAATTTAACACCGTTTAAGCTTTTCTCGCGCGCGCGCAAAAAAAAAAAAAAAGAAGAAGAAAGAAAATCGATTCTTTCATTCTTCGCTACTATCAACCGTAACGAACGCATGGAACGTCGCGTTTCGGCGCCAAGGTCGCGTTTCACGCGGACAACTTTGATCGTGCACTAATGCACGCTTCCTTCGAGCGAAACCACGTTACCATCCGTGCAACGATTTCGCGTCAAGTTGCACGGATGGCATGAACTTTGCGACTCAACTTTGACGCATCGTCAGAATGATTGGTAACGATACGTCCATTGGTCGCGTCACGAAGAGAAACGTACGCACCGAATTGCGATGCGATGATTATCATCTTTGAGCGTTGGTTTCGAAACAATCGTACCTATATCCTTTCTTTTCGATGCGATAGAAATCGAAGAAAAATCGAAAAAGGATGGAGCATAAGTTTTGGAACGAACGATTTCGTAAATAGCAATTTTCGAGCGAAGCAAAATTCTAGCTCGGTTGGTTCCTCGCGCGATCGCCGCTTCTTTTTTCCTTCTTCCTCGTAGTTGGTCCGCGTTATACCTTTCCCCTCGACCTGCCTCCTCCTCCTCCTCCTTCTTCTTCCTCCTCCTCTTCTTCCTTCCCTTCGCCCCGATCATTTTACGCGGCTCCTTCGCGCTTTTACACTCCCTGCTCTTTCTTTTCTTTCTCGGTACGATGGGTCGGACGTCTCTCCTTTCTCTCGCGTCTCGTACGGTTATCTCCTCGCGTTTTTATTTTAGCCCGAAGCAAACGTCGAGGTGGAAACGACGAGCCGGAGGAAGGAAAGGTGATGGTGGTGGTAGTAGTGTAGCAGTAGTAGTACTAGTAGTAGTAGTAATGTAGTAGACTAGTAGTAGTGGTAGTAGTAGTGTAATAGTAGTAGTAGTAGGAGAAGGAGGAGGAGGAGATGAGGAAAAGAGAGAAGAGAGTAACGGTAAAGGAGGAAGAAAGAGGCAAAGCGAATAAACGAGCGAGAGAAGGAAAAGTAGGAAGGTGGATGCGAAAGACGGGAAAGAGGCAAGGGGCGAGGGAACGGAAGAGGTGGCGGTCGAGAAGGGCGCGGGGCGAAAGGGGGTGGCGGCGGGGGTGGCAGGAGGGATAGCAGGAGGAGGAGAAGGCGGCGGTAGCGGCGGAGGACGAGGAGGAGGTGGACGAGGAGGTAGCGGAGGAGGAGAAGGAGGAGGAGGAGGAGGTGGTGGTGGAGGAGGAGGAGGAGGAGGAGGATAGAACACAAACGGCCGCACGAAGAGAGCTCGTCGAACGGCTCTGCTCTCCTCTTCTCCTCCTTCGGTTCTCGCAGGCTATGGTTTCGTAACACGCGTCTTTCCCGCTCTCCGCCTCTCTCCTCTTCCACGGTTGTTCGTTCGTTCGTTCGTTCGTTCGTGCAACGCGTTCTACCACGTTCGTGATACGCGTCTCTTTTCAAAAGTCGGGGCCCCGTTCCACCGAATCGTTCCGTAGAATCGAAGAGGGCGGTGATGAGAAACGCGACGAAATTTCAGGTGACGAGATTTCTTTCGCTTGGCGATTAAGAAGAAAATCGCGACGCATCACGGATAACGCGCTTACAAACTCGCTACGCCAAACAGCACCTAAGACACCGTCCATACGGAGATCTCTAGGGAGCTCCGTGATTATTCCGGGCGCAAATTTATTTTTATCAGCCTGTACCGGTCTGTTCTCGCTTTGAGGGCAACGTTGCCGGATTACGAGTTTTTCCCTCGATTTCTACAAAATTGACCAACTTTTGCGATCCGTATCGGTGACGATGGAAAGAAAAAAAAGAAAAAAAATGAGAGAAAAAGTAAAAGAAAGAAGGAAAAAGATAGGAGCGATTCGTGTTGAAAAAAAGAAAAAAACGATTCACAGACTTGGTCGAGAAGAGCATTTCTCGAGGCGATACGTGATATTTTCGGTCAACGGTAGCAGTGAGAGTATCGAAATTGGGAAAGCTCGGAATACGAAACCCGTTTCGACTCTGTTTCCTCGGTATCGCGCGTGCGGAGAAGATAACGAGCGAAAAAGAAATTCCGTTGGCAACGGAACGTTTACGCGTTTTCGCGAGTATCTCGAAGAGATCGATGGAACGAAAACTGCGATGGAACGAAATATGATCGAGGAAACGATCGACGCGCTTCAACTTAGAATATTTAAAAGAAAAATTAAGAGAATCGAAAGAGAATATATCCGAACGGCTTGGAAGTTTTACTCGTTACGTAATTTCATTAACGCGCTCGATAGACGTAGCGACGATCGAAACAGACGAATGGAGAATAAGAATTTCGAAATCTCGCGAACACGCAGGGTGAACACTTCTTCTTCGGTTGTTCCATCGGAATAGACCGAGACCGATCGTAAATAGCCGGCGCACCAGAAACGGTCGTAAGGGTTTCCCTTATCCGCGTCAGCATTTCTGCTCGCTCGATTACCTACGGTTTCCTTCGCGTACCGGAGAAGTCTGCCACGGAACCGCTTCTTTTTTTTTTTCCTCTCTCTTCTTCACCTACTTTTTTTCTCTCCCCGTCTTTCTTTCGATAATGATGCGCGCATAGGTGTGCACCTCGGCCGCGTGTATGCCGTTCGTGCGTATCCGTTGCGTTTCGGCCTTCTCCGGCTTCCCCACGGTTTTCGCTCATTTCGACCTTTTCGTCCCGACGACGGAGGAGTCGATGTAAGCAACGCCGGCCGCATCGTTTGCCAACGAGAAACGCTCGTTAAACACTCGCGCAACTTCGCCATGCCTGACGTATCCCACGTTTCATCCTTCTTCTCCGTCTTTCTCCTCT